AAAATAAGTGTATTTTCCACCTTTCTCAATCCATCCACAATCAGTGGGGCTAATAAGATCTGTTGGAAATTTTTGGTGAACATCGTACTAAAGATTTTTGTCCGCAAAACTTGTTCTAGAAGCTGTGATTCACACGGTAGAATGTTCAATCCATCGAAATTAGTCGCTTTATTTACAAATCGCACCTTCAATCATAAATTGGCATAACTCAAAAATGCTACTTTCGTAGAATCTGCTAAAAATTGAAAACTGTGTAAGAGTTTGTATTCGTCTTGGAATTTTTGAATTTTGAGAAAATTTATGAAGTATTATGAATTATGAAATTTGTGAAAAGGTTAAGAATACTATAAATATGTATGTATAATTAATGTTTTTTTTTTAAATACAGAAAAATGGTTTTATGGTTAGAAAAAACAAAATTCACAATTAGGTCACTTTAGTAATAAAAATAATGAGTATAAATAAGAAATGTGTCAATTTATGACTAAAAGTTGCACAAAGATTTCAGAATTATTTTGAAATAGTTCTTTTTTGAATTACCTATATTCCATAAGAATTTCATGTAATAAAGCAAAAAATGTCACTTTAGAAGTAAATTTTCAAAAAATTATGCTAAGCTATTTCGAACCAGAGGTATTAGTTTTTGTGATAATATCAAATGGGGTTATTAGGATCAATGATTAACTCAAAGTAAACATGAAAAACAAAATACTAAGTCTTTATTTGCTTTTCACTTAAATTTATTTGTACCCTTAAACTTAACTTTGGCATAAATAGTAGGTAACTCACGTAAACATGAAAAAACATAAAACTAATTCCTCATAATGTGCTTTTTACTAGTATTGTACTATTGAACTCAACTTTGGCATTCTGAAATATCAAATACCTAAATAACTAAATAAAACTAAATTTCTGAATTATCAAATTAAGTAACTAAATAAAACTAAGAAATATACTGAAATGTAAGATGAGACTTAGTCCTTATGCTAGCATACTGGAATAAAAATCTGCGTAATAATTGGGAATCAAATTTTTAGAAATAAGTTCTTTCAGGTCCTTTTTCTTATTCGCGCTCAATTCGAGTTTATTCTGATATGCTTTTTCAAGAGTAATTTCCTCCAAAGAAAGCATCTTCCTTCTTTTATTACTCAGATTAACTTCAAGAAAATTCTCCTGCTTGTAGGATGTTTTATAAAAGAAACTAAAAGGTTTTTCTTTTCTAAACATCACCACCTTAATGTTATTCCACAACACAGTATTTCCCGAGGTATCAAAATTGTAATTATATCCCCATTCTTCTTGGAGTTTTTTCAAATTAAGGAATGACTCAAAAGTAAGCTCATGTACCTTGAAAGGGGGATTTGTTTTTTTAGCATTTTTAATCATTGTTACGTACTGGTGAGGGGAATATATAGGATCAGATCTTAATTTTTTTTTATCTCCTTTTTAATGAGGCTATGCACATTATCTCCTTCATTCTGTGTATGCCCTTTAATAAGGAACTTATGATCGATAACTTTTATATTATTAAAAAGACTCACTGCATATAAAGGGGAGGGTCCCGTACCTTGATGCCAGGTATTTTTGAGTCCTTACAAAATGCAGTAAATGAATAAAAGTCAATATTTCAATGTCCTGACATGTAGTCTCATATGTGTCCTATCAAAAAGAAACATTATTAGTGAAAAATTTATTTTGAAACTTTCGATATATTTTTTTTTTAAAAAAGTATAAACTGGCCCAATATAGGTACAATATAGACTTGTACCTTGTGCCACCTGTAATGTACCTTGAGCCATGGACAAAAAAGACAATACTGAAATAAATTAAAGCCTTTATTTCACGAAATGAGACAAGAAAAACATAAGAACTTAACAAAAAATAATCTATTCAACCTTATAGGCTGAAAAGTCAATCCCAAAAGTAAGCAATTTTTTTTGTCTTTCCGATAAGCCTACACTTACAGGGTGTGGCAGGCATAAAACGATGCTTTCTTTGTCAATGGTAAATATTTCTTCACTTTCTTTCACAAACTTATTTGTGGAACGGAACCTTTTCATGTATTTTACTCGAAATTCATCATCAGTGCCAATGTTCACTATCTCGGCCACATAAAAATGAATGGTTTTTTTCCCAGCAATTTTTGTTAGCACATAATCACCATGTTTTAAAGATGTGCTTATAAATGCTTGTTCCTCAGGCTCGAAAATCTCATCTGATATTTCTGAACTGTCTGAGTTGGTCGAATACGTCTCTTCTTCATCAGATGATTCCTCTTCTGCTTCTTTTTTCTTTTTCATGGCTGTAATGTTTCGGATGACTTGCTTGCTTTTTTTCAACTGTTCTTTTCTTTGCCTTTCATTGAAAAGTCGTTCAATTTCGTCTTTTTCTGGGGTGTCAGTCAGAATTCTACTTTTTGTTTTTTTACGAGCATTGGCCTTTATAGTACGATTCATTGCTTTTGGATATGGTCGCAATTGTTCAGGAGTTGTGAACTTCGGGTCATTTGAATTTTGTTCCATTGTAAGAGAATTATTATTAATAATATTTTCATGCAAAAGAACTAAATTTTCTTTACTCGTAGACGGTTTGGGGTCATTTGATAGTAGGATCGTCGGATCTTCACGGTCAGTAACTGCTGAACAAAGATATTCTTCATCGCCGAAAATATTTTCATTTGGGGGCCAAATTCCTGAGACTCTGAATCCAGATAGAATGTTCTTTGGAGTAAACGCCAGTGGATATGCCTTTCCCGCCAGTTCTGCGACATTATATATTGTGATTGGTTGTCCTGGATGATTCAAAAGCCATTCGTCGCAAGCATTGTTGTAATACTGCTTGTATGGACCAAAAACTGTGCGGTCAAGGGGCTGGAGCTTGTGACTGGTGTGGGGTGGCAAAGTCAATAAAATTATCCCATTATTTTTTGATAATGTTACAGCTTCAAGGGAGCAATGGCTTTCGTGGTTGTCCATTATTAATAATTTCTTATGCTCAGGACTTGGCCGTTCCTTATCGATGAAATGTTGCAGCCATACAATAAACTTTTCAGAATTTGACCATCCAGATATATGAGCAGATCCAATTGAATCCGCTGGGGCACCAGTCAGCATAAATTGCTTAAAATTAACTCTGGGGAATATGAACATTGGCGGTACGCTATTTCCCAAAGCATTAATGCAGCCTATCATGGTAACATTGGATCCCCTTTCTCCAGATGTCGCAGTTCTTATCTGTTTTTGTCCTTTAGCAGCAATTATCTTTGTCGTATTTTGCACCGTACAGTTTCCGGTTTCGTCCATATTGTAAATATCTCCAGCAGTAAACTGATATTTAGCAATAATTTCCTTCAGATTATAGAAAAAAAGCCCAACATTATGTTTGTTGAAGCTGGTCGCGCGTGCCAGACTAGTAGCCTCAGGTTTTCTAAGACTTAGTTCGCGATGCCTCTTCATAAATTCTCGAAACCACTGTTTTCCAGCCTTCTCATTGACTATCCAAGATTGGGGCATATTCTTGTTATTGGATTTGGCAAAAGAATAAGCCAAAGATCTCAGCTGATTTCTGTGAAGACCGTAGTGCATTTTTGATGAAGTAAGAAGATATTTCACAAGACTGGCTTCTTCTAGGTCAGAAAATATTTTTTTTACAGCACAATTCTTGTAGGGCTTATAATTATCAACTTCGTTCTCATCGCGTTTTAGGAGACGCTGAAGAGTTGCCCTGGACACATTAAATTCCTGGCAGGCTTTTCGTTGGCTCATGCCTTCTCTAACTGCAGCTAGAGCTCTTATTACTTGCACATTAGAAGGCCCCTGCCTTGTCACCCCACTTTTACTTCTAGGCATCTGCAAATATAAAAAAAAATATATATTATTTTTATGGCTTGTACCTTGGGCCATGGCTCAACGTACATGCCCCATGCCGGCCCAAGGTACGAGACAGTGCAACAAGAAATTCATAAAATAACCTAACCCTAAAAGACAAAACTAGAATACCGGAAAAATCTCTGAATATGTTTAGCATAGACCCACCATCACATGCCATAATTAGTTTAAAATGATAATCTTCATTCAAACTTGAAAAAATAAATATATGAGAAAGCTAAATACTTACTTTAAAGTCGCAAAAACATTTTTTTTATCAACAAGACGTATCGACTCCATTTAACTACAACCGACTGGATGATGCCAACGGTAGACGTACATGTGATCGTTAACAGTGTTGCCAGCTCTTCTTGTAAGAAATGGGAACAGTTATTAGGGTGGCTCGAGGTACAAAGCGGCTCAAGGTACAGGACCCTCCCCAATATAGTGTTGCAATGACTTTATTTTTTTTTTGCCCGCAGCAGTTATCAGAGTAAAAAGTTATTTCAATTTCTTCGTTTGTAGGGTTGATAGAAGACAATATTTCAAAATTGAAGATCCAATTTCAATAGAGCCGCGTTTAGCATCAGTCTCATTCCAGTAAAAACAATGAACGTCGCTATATCCCCGTTTCTTCTCATTATTTGGATCGAGTTTGTTCAAATCTACTAATGTAAAATTAAATGCATTCAACTTTGATTTATAATAAAAAGCTGATGTATCTCCTCTGGGGCACTGGAGCACACCTTGTAGATCGTAAATAAGCACTTTTTTGTTGTCCGTTATATACTCCTGGACAAAATTATCGCACCACCACTGCACATAAGCACCATAAGCAGTGGTGCGATAATTTTGTCCAGGAGTATATTAAGTCGATCAAAATATTTCTCTTTCCTGCACAACTCTTTTTCTTCCAGATGCTTTTTATATTCTTCCTCTATTTTATCTCTTGCATTGCCCATGGTATTACTATATGAAAGACATAGATCACATTGATCTTTTTTGGGCTGATAAAACCCTATATTGAACTGGGTGGTGAAAACTTTATAATAAGTGCTATATTTTCCAAACTCTTTGTTTTGCCCTGTTTGAGTTTCTTTGAAATAACTGTTTTTCCGCCATCTATATACTCACGTGTTGTGTTGGCACGAAGATAATGGGATTCTATGCGTGGAATAGAGTTAATGTGGTTTTTTATATCTGCGAGCAGTTCTGGATCAATTTCAGTATGACTTGTATGAGTGCCTCGAAGATCATCGCTTACGAATCCATTTAGATCAATTTTTGCTATTGTGGTTCGAATCATACGATCGGTTATATCCAGTGTATTTTTGAAAAATACTTTACATACTCTTACTCGATCATTATCAGTTGTGAAGTAAAATGCTTTATTTTCTTCTCTTGGTCTCTCAGCATTCGTGTATTTGTACCTGGGTGAGACATTTCGCAAACAAAATTGTACAAACAAACGCTGTTTGTTTATATCCGATAAATTCCAGAATTTTTCAAATATAGAAGCTCTTTCATTCTCATTTATGTTATCCTTGCATTTGAGTCGGCATTTTCCAGGGCAAGGCGGCTTGACACTCCTAGCTGCAAAGATTTTCTTGGATTTTGACATCGAGACATAGGATTGACCGGTATTTCTTAACCGTTTTGTTAGGTTTTGTTTCCATTTTTCAGGATTTCGCGTTCGTTTTTTAGTATTTTTAGATGTCGATGGGGTATTTTCTCCTGATGACGTCGATGAAGACGACCTGGAAGTATCGCTAGAAGACGAACTGGAAGTATCATTAGAAGTCGAAGAGCTGTTACTTCTACTGAAAATTTGTATTTTTTCCATTTTGTCGTCTTGCTCCCCTTTGTAGATCGGATCAGTGTCACTTAAATCTACGTCACTTTCATTAGAGTACACCGGAGAAATTTGGTAGTTCTCTTTTCTCTTTCTCGTGATGTATAGCTTGGTAGGATTTACGTATTCACTAATTTCATATTCGAATTGTTTGGAGTTAATGGAGTTTGAAGTATTATTGCATTCGTTTTCCTTGTTGTCCATGAGAGCAAACTGCTAAGAAATAAGTTAAATAAAAAATAAAGCTTGTTCTAACATCATCTATATACCTTTTCACATCCACTCCTTTCTGTGGTATGAACTATTTTGGAAAATTCCTCTACAGCAGAATCTGTGGTATCTATGTTCTCTCCAGAAAGGGGATATACAGGTTGCTGAAATAAAAATACTCTAACTTCAACAGTTCAGCAGAAAAAAAAAAAATATTTTAATAAGAAAAGTCTAAATACTAACAGACTCTAATGTAGTTTCATTATTCTCCATGACTTCGACATAATCGCTCTTATCTTTTTTTTTTCTGCAATTATTGCATTAGAACTTTCTACTTGACTGACTCCAGCCGATGTTGTATCTTTTAAAATTAAAGGAGTATCATCTTGTAGACAGAAAGGGGAAATGCTGAAAGCTATCTACAAAAAAATTTAATACATAGGTAATTAAAACAAACAAAAAATATTCATAAAAATATTCTCTAGTTATTAATGTCAACTCAATATTGTTTATCAACTCACATCTTTTGAGTCGTTTGAATGGGAGGATGGTATATTTTCTGTGACAATTTGATTAGCAATGTCAAGAAGTGGTTCTTGAAGTACCATTTCCAGTATTTTTTTTCCTCTCCATTCCATTATTTTACTAGAGAATGGCAAAAAAACTAATATTAATAACCTTTTTTACTTATCGACTATGCAATTGTTTGAATTTTTGCTCATAAAACGGACCATTTTAAATTGCAACGAATATTTTATAATACAAATTAATCATAAAAATCACTAACTTAGAAATAAACAAGGCAAAAAAACAATAATGGTTTTAGTTTAATAATAAAAAGACACATTTAAAAATAAATTATTCAATGCATATACAGATGTAATAATAAACTGACATAACTTTAAAAAAATCTGCTAATTATAATGAATTTTAAGATATAAACAGACGCAACTAAAAATATTTCTGTCTTGGACTGAAATAAAAGAAAAGTTTTACCTTATTATTTAGCGATAAACTGACATAATCGTGATTAAGCGATCAACGACGACACGTACCCGGTCACTGTTAACACACAACTGAAATTATGTCGCTTTACGTCTAAACCATATTACACAATGATATTACGGAATCCGATAGAACTAAACTGACTCAAAAGATATCTGTATCTCACTGAGTGGCTATTTCGAGTTAGGTCGGAGTCACCTTAATAGATGGCACTATTTTAGGTCGTTTTAATACCAAAACTCTGAATCTCAAAATTTTGAGTTGTGCCACTTTATGAATAAAGGTGCGAAATTTCTCAGTAACATCATCCACCTTGAAATTTTTCCAAAAAATAGACAAACGTGCTTCGTTGATATTTTGCACGCCTTTAACGTTATACATATGACAACAAAATTTCCATTTGTTTCAAAGGTTGCATTGGTCGTGTTCCTAAGCACTCAACATGTTGAGTGATTAGTAAGCGGCTTTGTTCCAGCTAGTGAAATGCACAAGGTAGAAAAGTTTTGATTGGCCTAGAGCTGATTTTCATCTGTTTTCAACAGCCGCTGACTAATCACTCAACATGTTGAGTCCTTAGGAATGCAACCATTGTTAATGGTTTCATCATAATTCTCTCCAAGCTTTGCAAAAGCTAATTGGAATTCCTTAGAATTTGGCAAAATCTTCAACGGTTTCTTTTCCCCTTTCTAAAAAAGGAGGAATTAAAGTCGCATCCCGTAAACGCGTGAAAACTAGGCCGTGATTTGCAAAAATCGGGACCGAGATGCGAGTACAATTTCGAAACATCAATGTATCGCTGAGAATTTGAAACACCAACATTCATCCAAACTTTGGTTCCACTTTTTACCTGTTCCATGTTTGCAAGCATTATAATTAGAATGTTGGTATCTGAACATCGAATTACGATGTTCCGTTTTTGAATTGCAAACATGGTACACAATTTTAGTGTCAGCCTAGTCGTGCTTTTCGCAAGACAATTCTTCGATAATTGTGGAAACATGCTTCCCTTTAACGACTTTAAATTTGTGACATTTATCGGCAATAACATACAGTGTTTTTGATTTTAAAATACTTGCGTAAGAGTCTTTGGACCACTCTTCAATGAAAAATTTGATGAGAGCCTTTTTGAAATTGATATTTTTCAAATCTTCAGTGAAGTCGGTGTAGCGCTTTTGCTCTGGTCCAATTATTCTGAATTGACTTCTATATTATCTTGTAGCAAATGCTCGTTATCTTTAATGGATGGACTAAAGTAAGACTCAAAAATCACAGCGATTTCGTCTAAATTATGGTTTGAAAAGACATTCAGACATTCCCTTGCGATTTTTCCATATTGAACGGGAATTTCTTTTATTGTATGCAGAACAAAAAAAGCATCAATGACAACGAGATCGAAATTAAATGGTTGACTTTTATTTTGTGATTCCAATGATTTCAGAGAAACAGACTTATCGGTTTTATGTAGGGATAGAGCTATCACCGTGACACATCAATAAAGGCATCGGTGTCAAAGGGAACTGAAAAACATGGCTTAAGTTTAATTTTTGATCCACTGCCACCCCGAAAAGCCTACCGAATAAATCTCTCTGCATTATAACTTCTTGAACTTTTCCGCCGATAATTATTTATTTTTTTGGTTGCGCATCGACAAATGTCACAACTTTGGCTTTTTTTATTGGTCTTCCAAATCTGTCTTTGTCGGTACTACACCTACAGAATTTTTCACGCAACGTATTCCCTGTTTTTTCAACGTTCAATAAACTGTCGCGAATCATCTGAGACGCGGCTTATCCACTGGAAATATTGGAAAGTGATTTTTGAGGAACATCGCGGTTAAAAGGGTTAATATTTTCTTTGATGGCCGATAAGAGTTTCTCCATCTGAATTCGGCTTTTTTGAATTCTACTTTCATTTGAATCACCAGAAACATCCTGCTTCCGCCGCAATGACAGATCCTGCATAACATTCGATATAACCGCTGTCCTAAAACTATGGCTTTTACACCACCTTTGTCTAGCAGCATTGGAATTAGTCATGTGACTAATTCCAGTCATAGTATTAGCTGCGTCCAGGTTAATCGTTTCTTCCAATATTAAGTCAATTGGTTGGGTTGAACGGGGTTTCGGTGTGCGCCTCATCCCAATCCGTTTTTTTGCATTATATCATGAAGGCCTGGATGAGTCTGCGTAACTTTGAGAAAGTTGTCGTGATATCGAATGAACCAACGAGCGTAATTATGCTGATTGAAAGCGAAAAAAAGGTTTGTTACGAAAGAAAAAATGTTCAAAAACATTTCGTAACTTCGACGTCTAAAGCGGCGTTTCCACAAGCATAGTTTATTGGCGCCAGTGCACGTGCCAGTTTGCTGGCGTAATAATAGTAGCGCCAGTGTCTGTTTCCACTTTATTTTAAAAACTTGGCAAACTGGCGCAGTAGAAAAATGAAAAATGGCGTCAACTTTAATGGTTCAAGCAGGTTAATGTAAGTATGGATATTTTGTTTCTAGAAATATTGCAGAAGACCCGAAAAAACAAGAAGAAGAGACATAAACACAAGATCTGGGTACGAAAATGGAATTCACGCAGAAAATCTCTAGGAGCATCAAAAAATTTACTGTCTGATGAGTTAGCAGATGAAGACCATGAAGCATTTCCAAAGCTTCTTATTTTGCTTTTAGCAGCAGTGATATCAAAACCACTTGAGAACACGAGAATTCGCACAATACGTCAACACTTATCCTTATAGCATCATCCCGTTTATTCCTGTCTTTGTAACACAAAAGTTTGTGATTCCACAAACAGAGATGCTCTTCCATAAACTTCATATATTCAATTTTCTAGATTTATTTGACATTTTCATTATTTTTCTGAAAACGACTAGTGAAAACGTTTGTATTTTTTTTGACAAACTGTCACACATGGCAAACTGGCGCCAAAAAGTAGACCTCCATTCTACTTTACTGGTGCATGGATAAGTGGCGCCAGTTAACTGGTGCCAGTTAATTTTCCGCGTTTCCATGTGCCAAAAAAGTTATGCCAGTCGACTGGTGCCAATAAACTATGCATGTGGAAACGCCGCTTTACACTTGTCTGCAGTGAAAAGTGACGATCCATCAATTTGACGTAAGTCATGAAATATTGAGCTGTACATCCATGGGCCCCATTCAAAGTGTCATCGACATATTCGTCGTACTTTCCGAACAATCATTGAATTTGGTCATTTTACAGGACATCATTTGCTGATAGTGTAGAAGAACGGATTCGTGAAAGAGATTGATAGATTTCTGAACCATTTGAAACGTCAATGTCATAATTAAACGAAAATTGTCGCCAGTGTAAAGTCTGTAAAACTAGGCTGAGAAGAGTATGCATCCTCTTACACCTGTTGTAGTTTTCCAGTAATAAATCCTGATAGAGAACCTCCTGCTATGATTCCGCTGTCAATCATAATATTAGTAACACCAGAATTCTCGATAAATTTTCCTACTGCTTTGAAGTAAGCAAGATCAATATGGAATGCTCCAAAATGAATGAATAAACGGTCAAAACGAGGCCTTTCTAACCATTGAATCTGTGATGCAACTTGCGCAATGGCAAGATCATAAGTCTGTTGAATAAATTCCTGTCCGCACTCGCCTGCGTCCTTCAATGCCTGCTTCATTGTTTCAATGACGATTAATTCATTTGTTGGAAACGCATTAATAGTCGTCATGTAAGAAACTTTTTGCATCAAAGACGCGTCATCAAGGAGTAGTTTGGAAACCCGTCCATATTGGAGTTTTCGGAATGTTGGCAAAGTGAGATAGCGTCCACAGGTGTTTGAATTGTACGAATTGCGAAAAATCGAAGTTTGAAACAGAAATATCCAGTGGAAGAAGTGTTTCATTAAATCTGGGCCTCTTTGAATACTCTTCTAATTCAAGGGTAACAGGGTCGCATGTTCGTCTTCTCTTACGACGTTCGGAGAAATCACCGCCAGCAGCAACAGAAACGGAATCATCAGTATTTTTACCATTATTATCCAATTTAGTGTCGACAATGTCTTGATATATGATACCAACAGTGTCATGCAAAAATTCTTGAGCAAATGGGCTACTTAATCTTTTGTATTTCTCGCCGGAAAGTGTACGTACATTTCCACCGCTCAAAAGTATATCGTAAAAAACCTTTGGAAGGTCTTGTTTGGCAATAGAAAAAAATTTCTCGTGTTGAAATAATTGAAGCTTGCTGTAATAAATCTATTTTGTTTAATGCCTCAGGACTAAAGTTCTCAGGAATGACACTGTTCCTAGGCTAAACAATCTTTTCAATTGATAAATAATTAATTTTTATGTCTCCGGTGAAAGAGTTTATTAATTTTGTTTCCAACATCCTGCTTTCAATATTTGTAACATTTATATTGTCCTAGATTCGTAGATTTGAGCAGTCATACTGTCGTTGTACATCTTTACTAAAGATTTTAGATAGCAAAACGACTTTTTTTTTAATGATGTTTTCAGCAACAAAAGCGCAAATTTGCTCCAATGCAATTTTATTAAGTTTTCGGATGATATGCCACTCACGTTGCTTCTTACATTTCTTGTAGATAATCGTCGATTTACAAC